CTCTCCATCCTCGCTTATCTATTGGCACCATGCCAAACTCTACAGTTGTGGCGCACCGATTGTGGCATCGAATACGAGGTACGAGGGGTTCCAGCTCCCAACCCCAACGTCAAGGAGCTGAACGCCATGGATTCTCGTTTTCTTTCCTTTAGAAAGCTTTCTGTACGTTCCCTCAACGGCTGTATGCACGATGCGTGTCGCTGCAGTATTACTTGCTTTGGCGGTTTGGGCGCGAGCTGATGCGGCGCCAGAGGATGGTCCTGCTGCTGCAACGGCGATAGCCGAAGGGAAGAACTGGACGCCGAAGAAGGCGTATGCGGAGCCCTTTGAGGGCCTGAACAATCGTAGTATCTCCAATGCACTTGCGTTTGGCAGTCTCGTGGGGAGACAGACTGGTATGCTCGGGTTGAACAGCTTTTGCAACTTTATCTGACAAGTTGTAGGGCAGCAGTGCTCGACGTTGGGAGGAGAGGCGTATAACTGCGGCTTCGACCAGCAATGCGTAAGTTCACGATTCCTCTATGAACAAGGATCAGATCACTGAATAAGCCGTAGTGCAGAAATACAGCAGGCTGTTGTGATGGCGGCCCTGGAGATGTTGAGGTATGTTCCATGCAGCAGTAGTGTAGTTGACTCTCGACCTAACGGTACCTTACAGTGCGTTATCACAGGGGGTACTGGTATCCAAGGATGCTGCCCCTTAAACGAAGGCTACGTCACGTGCGGCGGCACCACTTGTGTTTGTAAGCGTCTAAAAATCTCTTGAATTGACTCTTGGCTGACATGTAAAAGGGGGTCGTTGCTGTCAAGAAGTCGGAACGGCATGTGCAGGCCTTTCTCAATGTTGCAAAGAGGGCGGCTGCTGTGATGACTCGGAAGAGTGCTGTGGGGATGTGTGCTGCAGGGGTTTGAGCAAGTGTTGCGGCGGGAAAATCTGCTGCGATGCTGGGTTTGTTTGTGAAGCAGCAGGACGATGTGTTCCCGAAGCAACTTCGGCGGCGGCCACGACGATTATCCAGACTGTGGTGGCTAAGGACGATGCTACGAAGAGAATGCCGTCAGGATGCTTGGGTGCGGCGATGATGCTTTCTTTGGCGAGTTACCTGGTCTGATCCCAATATGAGGTTCCGATCTGGAGAAGGGATGGCGAAGGTAGATGCGGGATCGGAGAAGAATTAGGCAACGTTGGGATTGTACATGTCTTCAGAGCTTGTGGCCGACACCGAAATGTGGGTGATGATCTGTTTGATTCATACTGTAATGCAGCGCTATCCTCGTTAGAGGAGATGCCGCGCCTGATGACACGATCGAATAGTTTCTTAGAGTTTCGAGAGAGGCTTTCCCCACTCCTCGACTGCAAGAGCATTGTGATCAGTACATTTGCTTAAATCATAGTCAGGAACTTCAACTTACATCTTGGGCCATTGTAACCGATAACTCCTTCCACCTTCTTGGCTGCATCAATACCACCATCCAAGAGAACGATCTTCTGCACTTTGGGCTTCTGGCCCTTCAACGCTAGTTTCATTCGAAGATTGAGATAGGACCTCATTGCTGTGGGGGATCTTTCAGCGGCATAAGTGCAATAGAACACCACCAAGTCCGCGCCCCAGAGCCTTGAAGCCATCATTGCTTGAGGATTTTCCGCGTACTTCTCTTCAAATATACCTAAGGCCAGTTTAGCGTCCATGACCTCCAGGTGGACCGAGTTTCGGAACTGTCCAGCATTGCCTGTTGGTGTCGTGTCAGAAGTGGCCTTGACAATGGCATAGCAATGGAGCGCCTACTCATTCGATCCTGGCAGTCAACGAAGACAACTCTGTTCACATTGATCTTGGGCAGCGCCTCCAGGAGCGTTTTAGGGGCCACTGCGTCCAGTGTATAACTGACTTTTCTCTCGGTGTTGTGCGTCTCCAACTTGCCCAGGTCAATTGTGGAAAGATCCGTCTGAGGTGCACTTGTCTTTGTCGTGGTAGTCTGGGGGGCAGTTGTCTTCGGGGCGATCTTCTGCACAGATCCCTTCTTTTGTTGAGCAGAATCTTGGTGGAGAGGTGGCATGGAGCCCCCCCTGAGTCCAGTCCCCGTCATCTTGGAAGGGGCCCCTGTAGCTTTGGTACTCATGATGGTGGAGCGGTCAACTGTATTGATGGAAAATGGACGAAGCTCAGAAGTTCGGACACTGTTTGTAGCGAGGAAGATCGTTCGTTCGCGCCGGTCTTCCAAGAGAGAACGCCGCCCTCTTAATACCTGACTCTGTAACATGGGCTGCAAGCGGTCCATGTTGATAGACTAGATCCAGAAAGTGTCTGTGGCACCACATGTTCGGCTCGCAAGCGTTCGTAAGCGCCGCCACAGTGTAGAGGAACCCGTTTCGTCCAGTAAGAATGCGTTGACGAGTATGCTCAACACTCCACTAGGTTGATTGTGTAGCGAGTTGATGCAGTCCGTTCACAGAGTCGTTCGTACTAGATGTCATAACAGCCAGCCTCATAAGAATTGAGCGGTAGTTGAGCGCATCGATCAATCGGCGAGACCGAGCTCAACGCCAAAATGTACATTTTGAGCCTCGCATCTTCGACTATTGGCTTAGCGTTCGCTTATCCACCAACCAACCTGCTTCGGAATCAGTCTGGATTGTTGAACCTGGTCGTTTCGGTATTGGAATAGATTTGGTGATTCTGAATGGGGTGCGTGGCCACGGAAACTAGCTTCGTTTGAGCCTCTCTGTTAGCGTACGAACGAAAGATTGAAGCGTCGTACCACCTTCATTTATCCTACATCCTAGCATACACATAGTCCCGAGTTCCCATCAGGGCAAGCCACACAGCCTCCTCTGTCCGAATCGTCCTACTCCCTTGCCCAGGCACCAGGTTGACCCAGTGGTCGAAAGCCTCATGCGCCGTCTCTTTCGTCATCCCCATCTTCTGCAATTCGGGATCAGACGCCACCGCAGGTTCTAGGCCAGTAACACCACCGATTACCAGCAACAGATGTTTGAATTCGTCAGGGAGCTTGCCCGTCTTCTCTGTAGCTGCATGTTTCTGCCTGGTGGTGGCAGTGTGCGCATCGGGCATAATCGAAGAGAGTGCAACGCCGCGCTCACTTGTGCCGATAGTGCAGTCATAGCCGTCAGGTAAAAAGGGGCTATCAGTGTAGACGGCCGAGAAATTGTCCACCTTTCGTACATTGTAGCCCCAGTAGTACCCAGCTTCTTCCCGAGGTGCGCTAGGTGCGGTAGCTTCCACTTCCAGGTTGTCAATTTCATATTCTGAGAGGTTTGGCCAAGACGGAGGAGGTTCGGAGCTCGCGAATTTGAGTGTGACGCGGGTGCCAGGAGGTATGCTGTACGGTAACGTGACTGGGTAGGGCAGTCCGCATTCAACCAATGTCGAATCTGCGCTATTGGTCCCCGGCGCCGGTTCTAGTGTTGCCCCCTCTCGATACTGACTCCACTCGTCTGACCTCATGTGGTGTGGCATGTCGAGCGTGGGAAGCTTGCCAACCCCCTTGAGATTGGGGTGCTCCTCGAATAGGTGATGTCGTAGGTGTCCTGGGCACTCAAGGAAACTGAGGAGATGGTAGAGAAACTGGTCAGGATTCTCCCAGGGTTCTGCATCAGGTCGCACTTGGCTCAATATCTCAGCTTTGGTCTGACTCTTGCCCTTTCGCCTTCCGTGAGGCGGGATAGTTGTCGGCGCATCGTCGAATATAACAACCTCGTCCACACAAAACACGGCTGCTGCTCGTGCAATCCGTGCGGCCAGCTCGTACTTCTGATCAATCACCTTTGTGCTATTCTTGAGTGAGCACATGTACCAATACAGAGCATAACTTGACCAACGTTGCAGTTGGAGGATCACATAACTTACTTCGCAATGAAGCTCCCCGGCAAAGCAATACTCAGGGTCCAATCTCTGCCCTTTTTGGGCTTGAAGACTGCAGATGGCTTCGAGGTATCGAGCTCAGGCTCGTCGTGACGTGACCGCTTCAACGACCGTGCAGTCTTAGGCGTTGAAACAGCATCTATGATGGCATCTGCACTATAAATGTCTGCTTCGGTATTCTCCTGCTCATCGTCTGCTCTGACTTTTCGCTTCTGCGCGACTGTTAGCTTAGACAAGGCGTGTGAGACTCAACGCACTTTGCTGGTCTTCTCCTTGCTCCCTTTTGCCATGGTATGAAAGTTAAGGTGTATATTACTCAGGTAGATACTTGAGCATGGGATTGCGGCTCGACATCAGTTCAATGTTGGCTGAAGTGTGAGACCGATCGAATCGGACTAGCGCGCTATAATGCAAGCCTTAGGGAGCTAGTCCTAATTTGGCCTTGCTCCACTCAACCCCGGCCATCCCCCGCTTGCACTTGCAGCTTACCTCCTGCATTGATCATGACACTTCTCCGGTATTGACACTTTCAAAGAGACAGTCATGTCTACGGAAAGGCAAGTTAACTCCGCTGAACAGGCCGGTTGATCTAACATTTTATCAGCTCCAAGGCCCCCTCCACGGGCTCGACCATCTTCACCTTCCTTGCTCTCTATCTCACAACACTCTTCAGCCTCGACACCTGGGGCGCAGCACAATCTTCTCCATACCGTGCTCCAGGAACACATGTCCGGCCTCTACAAAGAACTCCTCGTCGCGACAGTTACCAAGGCCGTATGACGAGTCTCAGAAGCAACGGCTCAAGGGACGTGGGCAGAGTGCCAAGTGTCCAGGACTCCCGGCCGCCGATGAGGATGGGCGGCACTGCCAGCTGTGGAGCGTGTGCTCTTTGAGACCGAGTTGCATCGCGAGAGTGAGATTTCATTATTGACATTATTATTACATCGACTCCTTGGATCCCTTCGCTGGTTCCCAAGCTCGCGGCTGAACCCCGCTGACTTTAGGGTGCTCAGTCTAGCCCGGAGGTCTCCACACCACCACCCGGCGAATCAAAAAAATTCCGCAAGCCTCCACGCAATCCAACGACGCCAGAAAGGAATCCAAAAGCAAAAAGAATGATCGCGGCCGGATTCGAACCGACAATCTCTTGATTCGTAGTCAAGCGCCTTGCCATTGGGCCACGCGACCGATTGTTATGCTTGTTGATGAATGATTTTGCGTTCAAGAAACCTCATGTCTCCAGTGAAGCTGCTCATAATGGTTTCCCTTCCATTTCCATCACGCATTGCGGCCGGGCTCAACGGACTCTACGGTTGCTTGAGCTGGCTGAAGTCCTTCAACGTTTCCCACATTCAGCATTGCCACAATCCGGTCTCTGTTCTTTTGGATCCGTTCATCAGCACGTCTCTTCCCCGAGATCCAACACCAAAAACAGCAGCCGAAACTCATTACCGCAACCAGTATCGGTAGCACGATTACAACAATCATAATCTGGCTCCAGGATTTGCACTCCCTGTTGCAATATCCTGATGGTGTTTCTTGACGCGGTGGCGCACAGTTTGGTGCACAAGTGACTCCATTCTCCACGGCGTACGCCATAGACACAGCGGGTGCTACAAGGGTGTCGAAAACTGGATCGAAGACCGCCGAGTGGGTAACCAGATTTCTTTCTGAGGTTTCCGAAAAGGTTATTGTCCAGGGAGGGTCCAGTGTAATCCCCGGTATGGTTGGCGATACGGCTGCACAGCGGCCAACGGAGTTGAAGCCTGTCTCGATGTATGTGAAGCTTTGTACACTGGTACGGCTGTTAGCTTGCTAGCACTTGAGGAGTGTCGACGATGGAGCTTACTCAGGGCAGCATGTCAATTGCCCAGTGGTGGTACCCTTCCTTAACACGGTGGTGTTGGAGTCTACTTCTGTATACGATATAGGACAGCGGGTTCCTGGCAGAGGCTCAAAGCCATCAGTCATGCAGACATTATCATAATCGTAGGGGGCGTTACGACCCAACGACCAAACAGTGCAGCTGGAAGTCACAGAAACGACGCCGTCGCATGACCGCACATCTGCCCAAATGTCACTGAAGCAGCTCGGAGCAGGCGTGAGTAGAGGGATTGTGGACGAGAGAGAGGTTGTGGATGCCATGACTGTGGTATGAGACCGTTGGCGACGAGGGAAGCTAGGTAGCTTCCTACAGTCTTATGCGTGTTGTGATCTAAACCCTATTATTATACAGAATATTGCCCGGTTACGACCAGGGACGTAACCAATGGCGAACGCCCCACCCAAAAACAGCCTAGATATCCGAGTCTACTGCTTACGCGGCCGCCGATGCAGTTGGAATAAGATGAAGTCTTATATATCTCGTATCCCATACGATGATATGCTGTGCCGCAATACATCATGTTGTTGTGAATCGGAGAATGCAAAGTCTAACATCGACCATATTCACACCTCCAAGGGTAGTCTCATCACGCTGGAATAGCATTCGCCTCTTCAACAGGTGCGTCAACAGCCCCCTGTTTCGCCGCTGCTGCGCGCTTCTTCAATACATTCTCGATGAAGGCCTCACCAGCCTTGTAACTCGAACGGACCAAGGGGCCGGATGCACAGTACAGGAAACCCATATCGAGAGCCCGCTGGCGCCACATCTCAAACTGGTCGGGGGTAATGTATGCCTCTACAGCCATGTGGCGTTTGGTTGGCCGCATGTATTGCCCGAAAGTCACGACGTCGACATCATTCTTCCGTAACTCTAGGGACAGTTAGCTGAGTAAGACCTTAAGTGCGGCTGTTACTAACCTTTCAGAGCATGCCATAACTGCTGTTCGGTTTCACCCAGGCCCAGCATTATGCTCGTCTTCGTGATCAACGATGGCCGGGCCTCCTTCGCTGCTCGTAGGACGTCCAAACTTTGACGGAACTTCGCGCGCCGGTCCCGCACAAACGGAGTAAGCTCTTCGACGGTCTCGATGTTGTGCGCATAAACGTCCAACCCGCTCTGCGCAACCAGCTTGACCATTTCCAGATCGCCTGCATAGTCTCCTGTCAATGCCTCAACCAGCATAGCAGGGGCCTTCTGCTTGATCAATCTGATCGTCTCCGCAAAATGTCTCGCGCCTCCATCGACCAGGTCGTCTCGGTCCACGGAAGTGAGAACAACATATCCCAGACCCCACCTGCGCAGTGCTTCGGCCGTATTCTCCGGTTCATGTGGATCCAGAGGCGGCGGGGCCTTGGAAGTCTTGACTGAACAAAAGCGACAGCCACGTGTGCAGGTGTCGCCCATCAGCATAATTGTCGCAGTGGCCGCGCTCTTGTCACTTCCACCCCAGCAGTCGGAGATGTTAGGACATCGAGCCTCCTCGCAAACCGTGTGTAGATTCAAGCCTCGGAGGTCGTTCTTGATCTTCTTGTAATTATTATTGTTCGGTATCGGCGTCTTCAGCCATGAGGGTAATCTCGTAATGGTCTTCTTGCGGCCTTCGGGCCCAACTTGTGCGGTGCGAATTTCGTAGGCTTCGGAGGGTGAGAGGGGAGCGTCAGGCGCAACGAAGTCTGAGAATGAAGGTCCAGCATTCAGTTTATCTTGGAACGAAGTCCGTTGCCTTATTCCTTGAGGAGGCGTGCTGGGAACAGTCTCCGCTGCGGTGGCGAATGGTCTTGCGCATTGCGACGAGGGCAAAACCGATCTTTGAAGTGCGTGACGAGACGAGGAAGCCAGGAGGCACCGTGACCGCGGTATCGAAGCTGCCATTGTGTGTTGTGGAGGAAGTGGGAGAACGGTTGGAGTATGGGGTTAAACTTTCAATTTATCAGACCCTCGAATACCCGCTCCCCGTCGGACTCAATGAACAGCGCCAGCTTAATAAGTCGGAGGTCTTGGCACCAGCAACCCACAGTTCAGCATCCCTGCAGCTATCGCGGGCAACCTCAACGTACGCCAAAACCCACTGCTCCCTACCCCGTAACCCCACGAAGTGGTCTCGGCCAGTCCCTATCCACCTCTGTCATTCGCAGTCCGTCTGCAACGCCCAAGCTGCACACATACCCCGACCGGTGGAAAGGACACGTTTGGTGGCCCCCAGCGGTGGAGATATATATCGAACGGGACAACAGAGCGAGCTTGAGGCTGCGGGCCCAAGTTGAGCAACATGGACAAGAAACACGAAGATGTAGCCATGGTGGCTCAGATTGACAAGACCTCTGTCTTCCAAGAAGGTACATGGCTGCACCGCTCCCGTGGGCGGGGTGCTTAGAGCTCCTGAATTGAGAGATGGAATTGCTGACACTTGCTCTCAGCCCGAGTCTTCAACCAAAGCCCTATCTCGCCACGCAAATGCAGAGTCGTATGTTGTGTCATCGGCGTTTCTGCTTCAATTGAGCCTGACCTGTCCCGTAGATCTTGACGAAGCTCGCGTTGCTACTGTTTACAGGGGAGAGCTGGGCTAGGCAAGAGGCTACTACATTATTCTTTGGAAGTATGGTGCTGTCATTGCACGGATTGAATGCCTATGCTGACATTGGGCAGTCTCGAAGCTGTTCCAGAACAAGGATGCGTCCCTCCGCCAGATGGTGTACCTTGTCATCAAGGAGTTCGCTAGCTCCGCCGACGATGTGATCATGGTCACCTCGTCCATAATGAAGGATGCGTCCGTTGGAAGCGACGTTGTCTACCGCCCTAACGCGATCCGGGCTCTCTGCCGTGTCATCGATGCCTCAACCGTACAAGCCATCGAACGCCTCGTTAAGACATGTATCGTCGACAAGAACCCCTCGGTCGCTTCCGCTGCGCTTGTTTCATCATATCACCTCCTCCCCGTCGCAAAAGACGTTGTCAGAAGATGGCAGTCCGAGGCGGCAGAAGCAGCATCCAGCAGCAAAGGCGGTGGAGGCTTTTTGGGAGGCTTTGGTGGAGGCTCACAGTCCGCATTGCAAGCCAGCACAAACTACATGACCCAGTATCATGCTATCGGCCTGCTATACCAGATGCGCTCTGGAGACAGGATGAGCTTGGTCAAGATGGTGCAGCAGTACTCGGCTGCGGGTGTTGTCAAGAGCCCAGCCGCGACGGTGCTCCTCGTGCGGTTAGCTGCGAAGCTCGCTGAAGAAGATCCGAACCTCCGGAAGCCCATGATGCAGCTTCTTGACAACTGGCTGCGCCATAAGTCCGAAATGGTCAACTTCGAAGCCGCAAAAGCGATCTGCGACATGCGCGATGTCACTGATGCCGAGCTCGTACAGACTGTTCATACCCTCCAGCTGTTCCTCACCTCCCCACGGGCGGTCACCAAGTTTGCTGCACTAAGGATTCTATCGACCATGGCATCGTTCAAGCCTGAGGCTGTCCGACCTTGCAACCAAGACATTGAGGCGCTCATCACCAACGCGAATCGCAGTATCGCCACCTTCGCCATCACCACGCTTCTCAAGACCGGAAACGAGTCGTCAGTAGATAGGCTTATGAAGCAGATCACTGGCTTCATGGCTGAGATTACCGACGAGTTCAAAGTCACCATCGTGGAAGCCGTTCGGACACTTGCCCTGAAGTTCAAGTCGAAGCAGTCAGGATTCCTTGCCTTCCTCAGTGGTATCCTGCGCGATGAAGGTGGCTATGAGTTCAAGCGCGCAGTTGTCGAGGCGATTATGGATCTCATTCGATTCGTTCCCGAGGCCAAGGAAGATGCCCTGGCGACTCTCTGCGAATTCATCGAGGACTGCGAGTTTACTAAGCTTGCTGTTCGCATCTTGTTCGTCCTTGGCCGGGAAGGTCCCTCAACGCCCCATCCCACAAAGTACATCCGATACATCTATAACCGTGTAGTGTTGGAGAATGCTATCATCAGGGCTGCGGCTACGTCCGCTTTGGCCAAGTTTGGTGTTGGGTAAGTCGATACCGACTTTGTGCCAACCATCCCGAGACTAACTTCATCAAGTCAAAAGGACCCTGAGATCAAGAAGTCTGTACATGTCTTGCTCACTCGCTGCCTTGATGATGTCGACGACGAGGTCCGAGATAGAGCAGCCTTGAACCTCAGATTGATGGATCAGGATGACGACTTGGCTACCAAGTTCATCCGAAATGGTAAGACTTGGAAATTTACCCTGTGTTACATTGCTGACCTTCCTGACAGACTCAATGTTCTCGCTGCCCGTGCTGGAGCACCAGCTTGCGATGTATGTCAGCT